CAGTGCTGTGGGTGGGGGTGGCAGCAGGTTCTCACATGGTGCAGAGCACAGAAAATTCATCCTTGTGCAAACAGCTTGTGCATAGTCATCCCGGCCCAGGGATATTTATAGAAAGAACCTTATCTCACTCAAGGGTATAAACTTGTTCCACAAATACCAAGAGACTACTGCAGATCTGCTTTAAGTTTAGCATTCAAATACTTCGCACCGAGGTAGGGAACAGGGATTTTGTAAGCCTGGCTCTCTTCCTCAGCCTAGGGGCTGCTCCCAGAGCTCTGTATATTCCCTATATGTGCACTACAGTCAGGGGCACAGTGGGGTTGTCACAGACTTGGTCTCCATCAATGCACCTTGGGGTTTTTCCTCTATTTCTTTTCTTGCTGTTGTTTACTACTTAAGTAAATTCATTTTCCCAAGATGTGGTGCCTAACAATCTTAGTATCCATGATATGCTTCAAATCCTGGAATATATTATACTGTAAGAAGGCCCTATGGTGATTTGCTAATTAGCTTAACCCTTTTGGGACACAGAAGAAGGAATTTTTTATTAAAACAGGATAACCCTGGACTATATTGATCTGACTGAGAAATGAGTATTTTAGTCAAGATGAGTCTCGAGATGAGCACATGCTGGAAACAGGGATGTTGTTTCCATAGCAATGCCATGACAGCCTCTAGAGTGAAATAGTGTGCTACCAGGAAATGAAGGGAGTTCAAGTGCTATGAGCTACATAGTTCTGTGAGCAATCCAAATACATCCTCATAAAGAATATTTAGTACAGCCAGATAGTCCAAAGATTGCTGATGATGACAAGTAAGCCTTATCAGTATGCTCCTGGCAGTCCTTTTTTTCCCATTCACTGCACCCAGGAGGACTTACCTAAAGGCTTAAGCTATGGGCAACACTGCTAAGCCATTTGAGACCAAACATTAACAAATACAGCAACCTTTACTGCTTTTCCAGTGCAGACTATCATCCATAATTAAGGACACTGACTCTCGCTCTCCATAACACAACCACATTAATCCTTTTACTGAAGAAAAACCTCATATGTGCAATGATTTACCAGCTGACCTTCCCCCTTTCCTTTCCCTCACCTCCTCCTCTCCCTTGCCTCCTCCTGCCCAAATGATACTGAGCAAATCTGCTTGCAAGTGAGAAGCAATGTACACAAGTCTTGGATATTCCTCATTAAAATTTACACAGGCATAAAACTCACTTGTCTGCTTTTTACCCCAGTTAGTGCTTATGCTAATACAAAAGCAAACCAGAAAAGCAGTAATTGTATTTTATTCGCCTCAGGCTTTACCTAAGGCAAATATTCTGGTCAAATTCTGCAAAGCTGATTTAAAATATTTCCCAAAGAAGATAGAATGAGAAATAACTTAAGATCCCCATTGCTTTGTCTTATCAAAGAAATGAACAATTCTCAGCAATTTGTCTAACTGCTAAAACAACAGTTATAACTCAACTGTTCTCAAATAAAATTCTACAAGACAAAGTATTTTACTTGCAAAACAGCCTAGCACACTGCTGCTGATTCAGTCTTGCTCCAGCATCTCCCACATAATTTGTGAAGATGTTCAGACATGAGCTGAATGTCCAGAAACTCCACCACTGTATTTGTTGCCTGTGTCATTGTCACAACCAGCCTCTTGGGTAAACAGATTGCAGATCATTATATGTAGCAGTGCTGCCTCTGAGGGAAAGCAGAAAGACAAATACACATCCCAGCCAGATCCCTTATTAACAAATGCCACTTCAAACCAAAATGTTTTCTATTTATCGCTTTAACGTGTATTTCAAGAAATCAAGCCTTGAATGTAAAACAGCAAGATACTTCATTTCTATTTTGCATCTAGTAAAAAGATGTGAAGCATTTTTAAAACTGCCTCAGCCTCCTCCTGCCTGTGCCCCTAAATGTGTTACAAAAGGCACCAAGCCCAGCAACATTCATTTATAATTTAAACTGTTTGCTTGGCAGAATTTTTCCAGCTTAATATGTCTAGTCCTAATTGCAACTGGCACACCCAGTGTTTTTACCAGAAACTCATCTACTTCCAGGACATTTTTATGTAACTTGGTTTTCTGGAGGATAGAAATGTCTTTTCGGGGACTGATGCTGTTATCCAGGGGAAAACACATCTCTGCAATTTTACAGATTGTCCATATGGACAGATCCCTGTGAAAAGACTGATTCAAGTTTAACTTACTCATTCCCTTCTTCCAGTTATCATGGTCTCCCAGTTAATATCCCAACATGAGCAGTATTCTGTAACTCTCTTACCTTCTCTTGGAACACCTCTGTCAACTTCTCTGTTTGTCAAAGAATTAGGTAAAAGTAATCTGCTTGATGATCTGATTTTCACAACTGACTACAGACAGGTACAACATAGACTGTCTGAAACAGAAGTGGATACAGCCTATTTAACTTAGTCTACCCTCTTGAACACATACTGGTATCCAGCCACAAAAGCCAAACTGCTGCCACCATGGCCAGCTCAGCAAGAACATTTTGTCCATAGCACTGGTCATCCCTTTACCTAGTGTTCTCTCCTGCCTAAACTCTCTCATCACAGCCCTGCCAGATGTTCCTTCAAGTGTATCTAAAAGAAGCAGCAATATCTGTACCACAATCCAAGAGAGAAATCCAGTTATCCCAAAGCCATACATATAAGTATCCCAAAGCCACTGTCTCAGATAGAGGAAAGGTTTCCTATCCTAAAACTCTTAATTTCCCTCTTGTCATCAGCCCCAGAACATGCTCAGAAATTGAGTGTGTTACTGTAAATCGAATCATGGTTTAAGAGTTAAATCAATGAATCAATCAGAAACTTGAAAACACATTTAATCAGTAAGTAGTCAACAACAGGAATGTGCCAATGCTTGAAACGAAGTCCAAAAAGCTGTCACTAAACGTGGCACTTAAACACACAGTAGTAGAAGCCATAACATCCCAAACACTTACTCAATCTCAAATAATTTTGCTATTCATGATGTCCCACTTAGTCTGTTTTAAAGCTCCTTCCTAGGGTATTGCTAGAATTTGAAATATCATAGGATGCCAAACACTTCTGAGGACTATGAAAACAAGTGTTTTCATACAAAGGGCAAATGAAGTGTTGTTAATCAAGGCTATGAAATTTAGAGTTTTCAGAAGCAATTTCTTTAAGTTTCCTGCCTCAGTTTCCTCATTCACAAAACAGTAGACAAATTCATCTACCAGCCTCTCCATCTTCTGTAAGGAAAAATTCATCAGTGCATAAAGGACATGAAGACAAAAAGCTTTGCATAAATCCTAAGAATTATTTTACATGAGCATATTCACATTTGTTCTGATTGTATCAATACTCCCATAGCAAACCTTTCATTTTCAAGGATTTTAACACATTTGGTATTTGAAAATTCATATAAGGCTGTCAGTAACTTAGTATGGCAAATGACAATAAAAACTCATGCTGTCCTCATGAACTATAATAACTATTTACTTGGCTTTTAAAACTTTTCAGAAACTTTTATCTTGGCAATCCATGGTTTATAAAACAGCTTTTTACACAATAAAAGGGATTGCCAAAAGCAAATAAGCATTCTGGAATGTGATCTGGTGATCATACACAGACACACAGAGACTGCTGTGACCTAAGTCTAACCTACTGCTCTGACTCAGGAGAAAGGGGATACACAGTAGAGGAGAACACACAATAGTCATGTGTAAAAGCATCCAGAACAGAAACAAGACTGGAGGGTGAAGCTACTCTAAGGAGGACACCATCAGGAGCCACACTGCTACTCCATATAGAAGTGCTGAATTTTCCCACTCTGTTCTCTCTCAGTAAAGAATGGAAATAGAGTTGCTTGGATATCAAGGCAGATATAGCTGGATTTTGAAGACGCACATATAAATAGTTCCTATATAAACAGTCATATTAAAGAGAGCACCATTTAGCTTGCTTAGTCTAGACAGGTGAAAGGAAAAGAATATGAGTTCAGAAACAAATTGAGGAGATATTCACTACAACCCCCAGGGAAAAGGCATCTGTCACTCGATCCTGCAAAGGTTGTTTTCTAGGGACATTAAGAGTCATTTGATTTAAGGAACATGTTTCCTGTGACAGTAACAAAGAACAGGTTAAGTTTCACAGATGACCTGGCCCACAAAGGTTGAAATACAAGCAACCACCAGAGACAGGGAGAACACCCCATCACATTGGTGCTTTCTTTTAGGAAATTTCCCCCAGAAGGACAACTTCACTTTGACATCTAATAGTTGTTCACATAAACCCACAGAGAAACATTCTTCTAACTCCTTTTGATACGCTCAAAAAGAAATCACCAAAGGAATACAACACTCCCAGTTGGCCCCATAACCTTATTTCTCTTCTTAACGAGTTTTTTTATGTTCTGCAAAACACAGATAATTGCTTTTCTTGGCTGTATTTTCTTCTGCTCCTCCTCCAAGCCATCCTGTTGCAGGGCAAGGGGCAGCCTCACAGATGGCTGGAATGATTCCACAACAGCTTTCAGGATGACGCCAGCACTTGATACAGCACTGACTGCACTAATCACAGACACAACTTACACAAAGCAGCTGAGCCTAGGCCCAAACTGTGCACCTCTCAAGCATTAGGGTTCTGGGAAGCAGGATGATGGAGTGGGGGGCAGGGGCATGGTATGGACTGACCTCGCAGCCAAACAAGGTGGAGTAGCTCAATGTGAAATGTCTTCAGGAAATAACAGCATAGAGTATTCTGGTCAGGTGGATAGTTATCATTCCTATTTACTTCTTGTTAACCAACTGCAAGACTGTTATTTTTCATACAAAATTCCCTGATTTTTGCAGTCTCCTAGCTGTCTCTTCTGATATCTGAGCATTTGCTGTTACAAATACTGCAGCGATTTTGCTAAGTAAAGGTGTATTTTAAAATCTACAGAAAAAAATATTTTAAAACGGCCCCACTAATAACACCAACACCGAACAAAGAACCACAGTAAAGGATACTGAAGCTCCTATCTGTGATAGCTAAATGCCAGAGGTTAATCCTGAGATCATCCGCTGACATGTATGTCTCACAGTCACTGTTGACGGATATTGAGTTGACATGATAGGTGTGACCATTAGCAAAGATTCTCCGGGGAGTGACTTCTACCATCAAATCCATAGGCTTCAATACAGGCACCTGCCAAAACAACAGAACACAAAACAGAAAGGGAGTAAGGTTTTAAATAAGCTTTTGCTAGGATGATGAGAATTTCAGTGGAGTGCGAGCATTCAAAGGCTGTGATATTGTAAAATTTCTTGACAGTGTACACAAGCTGAATTTCCTCATGGATGAATTGCTGGGCAAGCCCATCCCTGCCAAGGAAGAAGGGCAAGACAGGAGAGCCATGGAGAGCCAGGCAGAGCAATGGAAAGCCTGGATGTGGGAAGGGAGGGACTGGCAGCTGCCACAGAATAGGCTAATCCCACAGCAGGAGCTACTGCCTCAAATATGCAGGAGGCTCTGGCAAGCAGTAAAGTGCTAGTATTTTGTTTTTGCTAAAGAGTTTGCTGTTAGTCGTAAATCACTTACAGTGTTTGCTTTGCTACTTGATATCTATCTTCCAAAAAAGTCAAGTGGTGAAAAGTCTATAATCTCAGCAAAGCATAACAAACGAATCTTGGAAAACAAAGCCAACATGTGTATTGACATACTGTACATACACACATATCCCTGAAAAGCCAATACCACAGATTATCACTTGTCATTGTGCCCTTGTTATTTCCTTGTGTGTCACTTCAATGTCATGCTTCAGTAAGTAGACACTGGATTCATTCCCTATCAATAAAGCATTAAACAACATAAGGCTGTTGTCCATGATTGGGACTATTCAATGTTGTTCAACATGCATCAGAAACCAACTATCATATACCAATCCATAAGGTAGTTTAAAGAGGAACATGGAGCAGTTAAAGATTTGAGTTTAGCTTTCCACTAAAGGAATGAAACAATGGTTCGCTCAACCTTTGAATTATCAGATTATAAGCAGTCTGGAATGATTTTGTTCACCTAATCATGCAGAATAGATAAATACTCCATTAATGTAGTCATCTTTACACTGTGGAGGCTTTTTTTCACACTAGACAACATTGGATTGTTTTGAAGATGGGGGTTGGTTGGTTGTTTTCAATAGTAAAGAAATACTAGTGTTTATACAACATACCCTTCCCATTCTAACCTTCAGCCATTGCCTTTGCCAAAACACCTCAGTGAATTCAGCCATTAAAGTCTGAGAGCAAAAAACTAGTATGTTAACATGTGGATGTTGGTCTCCTCTCCCACAAAATGAGCAACAGGAAACAAAAGGAAATGGCCTCGAGTTGCTCCAGGGAGGTTTAGATTGGACATCAGGAAAAATTACTTCACTAAAATTGTCATCAAGCCCTGGAAGAGACTTCCCAGGGTTGAGTCACCATCCCTGAGGGTATTTGAAAGACATGTAGAAGTGGCACCTGGGGACATGGGTTAGTAAATATGGCAGTGCTAGGCTGATGGTTGGATTCAATGATCTTAGAGGTTGCTTCCAACCTGAACAATTCTATGATCATATATACTTAAATGAGTTCCATGACTGCATCTCTATTCAGCAGTGCAGAACCTCAGGTTCACCAGAGCACAGACTACTGCAAATCCCACTCTTCAGATAGGAGAGAATTCTTTTATAAAGCTGAAATAAAGATGAGACTGAAATCTGGTGCATTGTCTTTAACTCAGTTGCTCTGAATGAGGCAAGAACACAGTTCAAAATTAATTACCAGTAAAATGCTTCCAGCACACCAGGTTAAAAAATCCTTTATGAAAGCACATTAAGTCAATCTGGGATCATTTTATCAGGAACAAAAAAACCAACATAAACTCTTGAAACTAATTTATTTTGTCACTGTATTATAAAGTAGTTGTGACTTGAAAATATGTGACAGATTCAAGACAGTTACCAGTCAGCTAAAGCTTCAGCAAGAATAATCATATAAATGCTTAGCATTAGGTACATATTTAAATCTTCCACTGAGTTAGGATTACCTTCTTCCTACAGAAACAACTGGATTTTGGACAAGGACAGTGGCTTACCTGCAGTGATGTTACTGTAGAAAGATCTTTAAGCTTTCCTTCTTCATCTTTTAAGTTGTACCCCTCTGGCCTCTTGTCTCTCTCCGTGATTTTCCATAACTTGATTGTTTTATCTTTAAAAGAAAAGACAGCATAGGAATTCTGAATTCCACAATATGTTCCTTAAAGAAGTTTTTACACCTTGCTTTAGACAAGTGCTGTGCTGAAACAGTCTGGGTCACTTCATTCTGCACATCCAGAAAATGCTGCCAACAGGAAAAATACTCATCAAGCACATCCCATACCTTCAGACAGAGTCAGATGTTCCTGGCAGCTGACAGACCATGTAGAGCATGTAGAGCACATACTGCTCACATATCAAACCTGGCAGTTTGCAGGTGGAACAAACCCAAACCACTCATTGCTCACTGCTGAAGCTCAGTTTTTGACTTTGAAAGGAAATAATCTTGATATTAAAGCCAGTTTGCTAGGTTACTGATAAACAGCACAAGATGAGCATGGAGTAGACAGATACCCAATGATCCCTGCCTGGCCCACTGTGGGAATGGGCAGTGGTGTACTGGTGTAACATCAGGAGCTCCAGCAAATGAACAGCTGTGTGAAAAGTGAGGCATGTCTCCCTCCTAAGGGAAAGCAGCTGAGAAACAACAGGAAAGAAAAATCCAACAAAATAAACTGAGAGAACTGTGTTGTAACAGTAAGAAAGAGAAGTGGGGATAAAAATATACTAATCATAGAATCATAGAATCAACCAGGTTGGAAGTCTGGCATGGAATTAAATAAAATCTAGACTCTTCCTTTTTCATGACAGGTGAAGCATATGATGATAGAGTAATGATGCCGCTCATTTAGCTAAGAGCCTCTGGAGCCAACAAACAGAAGGTTTAAGCATTTCATACCACATTTGTCTTTACTTTTTTAGAAGCTGAGGCTACAGATTTCTCTAACACTGGCCATCCACTGCCACTCTGGTTGTCCACCCAACCTGCCAACCCTAGCACTTCCTAGATGAGAAATCAATGCCACCTCTTCTCCTGCAAAAAAATCTGAGATTCTAACAGTTGTTTCACTCAGCTGCTTGTGAAGCAGCCAAAGTCTTTCCAAAGCTTCTACCATTCAGTTGCCACCACAGCTTTTATAAACCTCAGTTCCTGCACCACTTCTGATTTCATCCTGTTTTCTTCCTTTACCCCTTTTCTCCCAAATACATAGCAGAGAATAATTATTTCCCCAGTGTGGCTGATCCAAATACTTCTTTCAAATGTTAGTACATAACAATGTTAAAGGCAGGATATATGAATACATGAGTCAATTTGCATTTCTATAGCACCTTTTACTTTGAACTTTGTTGTTTCAAAATCAATCCCTCCATTACTGTGTTTTTACCCTTGTAAAAACTAATGATATTGGTATGCTAATTTACAAGCAACAAAAATATGGCAATTGATCAACCTACAGAACAAAAGGCTAATTCAATCTGCAACTAAAAAGTGCCATTTAAATATTCAGTAAATTTTATTTGTATTGCATATGATGTTATTTAATTACTAAAAATACATATAGGCCATATCATGCACTGGGTTTTTTTATTACATATTAGTAGTGCATTGCTGATTATCTAGCAAAAAAATTATAAATACAGCAATTGTAAAATGAATTGTAAGAAAAAACACAAATAGTTTTCATTGTTGAACTTGACTGCTATTAATAAATCTATCCCTTTCCTGATTGAAAACTATTTTATCAGCAGTTAAGGTTATCACATGTTGTTTCTTCTCCTTCATCCACCTCTGGACTTTTAATACTCCTAAGAAATTCTAAGTATGCCTATTTTTTGCAAAATACAGACACATCTCTGTGAGGCTAAGCATTCAGTCTCAAGGGTGTTGTGAAGTTAAAATTAATTAATGTCTGGTAAGGAGTCTGACATTCCCAGATGAAAGGATCTGTATGGGCCACATCCTGATCTACACTACAGAGCTCACATTGAAACAGGCCCCAGTATATTCCGGTACAGAAGATACCAAGGAATCATAATAATTTATTATTATACTACAAAATCAGTTCAGTTTACAGTGCAAACCACAAATTTGCTAAATGCAAGCACTGCAATTCCACAGTGGGATTTGAAAGCCTTGGTGGTTTCCTTCTGCATCCATTAATTAAGATGCTGCAATCAAAGCTTAGCCGATAACTTGTTGATAACACAAACTGGAAAGGAACCAAGATCGCCCCTGAGAGAGGTGGCCTGTGCAGAAATAGCTTCAGACAAAAGTCCTCCTTAGAATGACAGAAACAGATTTGGGCAGGTCAGACCTGCCAAGTCTCATATATTGAGGGTTAGATTTAGACTGACTCACGTTCCCTATCAGCAGGATGCTCCTTCCAGCAAATCCAATGGGCACTGTCCACCTATGCCCGTGGAAAGAAAGGATGCTGCTTCACAGTTCTCATTTTTCTGATCAAAATCATGCTTTAGATCCTAAACTACCATAAAATTGTGTTCAAATAGCAGGCACAGAAATCAGTACATAAAATTAGTACTCAAGATGTTTCTATACACTGTACAACATAAGCATATGTGACAATCATTCTCTGCAATTTAGGAAACATGCTAGTATCCCTTTTTATAGGCATGGAATGGATATACATTGTCAAAACTTCTCACAGGTAATCTAAGAGATTGAGTAATTCAGCATGGGCCATCTGTATCCTAAAGTTAAAACTATCTTAAGAATATGCCAAGAGGTGAATCTACAAGACTTCAACCCTGCTGTGCTGAGAAGCTAGGAATCCTCCTTGGCACACACAAATATTTTGCAGTTCAAAGCCAAAATCCAAAACCTATGCCAGTGGAACCCTTTCTGTTCTCCTTACCCTTATGGTGAGGTCTGCTAGGATGCTCCAGACTTAAGAGGGAAAAACAGAGGCCAAAGTATTTTGCCAGGCCCTAGGCTTACTCAGTGTGAGTTTAAACTCGATTGAACCACATCAGCACTAAGACTGGATATTCTTTTCTTCACTCCCTTGACAATATCAACCAGAAAACTCATATAAAGGTCTATTAGGCCAACTGTAAATGCAGCATGTCTGAGGACTTGCCTATATTCCTCTCTGTTTCTAAAAACACACGTCAAAATGAAAATGGAGATGTTTACTTTTAATAATCTGCTTTTTCATCACACACTTGGAAGAAGCCATTTTTAGTTATTTGAAGAAGGAGGAATATTTTGACAAGGGAGAAGTGCAGAAGTAAACTCCCAAACTTCATAGTAAGCAGGCTAACCATTAAATTAGGAGAAACCACCTAGCTGTAACAAGTATGTCTCATTTCAAAGAAGTAATAGTGCCCCAAAAAGTCAAAGACAACTTTAAAGAAAACAAACTGATTACTTCCTCCTATTCCACATCTGCATATCCCATCTTAGTAATAATAGTGCCTTTTTTAATCAATAAGCCTTAAGCATGTTAGAAATATGAGTCAGTATCAATATTCTATTACTATTCCAACTGCCTTCCAAAGATTTGTGCAACTCTTTAGAACTCAAATAAACCATCCTGATGGCAATGAATGAAAAAGAAATTGAACTCTCTCACCTACATTCATTTACACATCTGCAATGAATAAAAGTTACAACAAATACACAGACAAAATCTTAAATTCCCAGCGAAACACAAGCTGCTGAGCAAGGTGATGCTTCTGTCATGGAATTTATTTTGGGATAGCACTGCATGTTAATAGCAAAATGGAGAGCTCTGTAAATGCCTACGGATGATCAATAGGGAAACCCTTATGATTCTATGAATAAAATGCATAAATAACAGATATCAGAGTCAGTGTGACAGTCTTGGTAAACTCGGCAAGAGGAAAATTCCTAAAACAGTAGATTAAAATGAACAAATATATACCACCAGTACTAGAACATGATAGAGCAAACGCTGATGTGTCCTGCATACTCTCATGTATCTTACCATTTGTTGACAGAAGTGAGTGAGCTGCATTTTGCTGTGGTAACCACTTGATCTTGTTTATTTTTTCTTCTATCTCCAAGCTTTTCAAATAATCAAATTCAGGTTCATGGCTCTGGAAAGTGCTGTAAACATTGTACTCCCCCTGATTGTAAGGCTCATTTTTACTCTGTGGAGAATAAGAACAAAAAAACCCCGTGGTTTATGATGCCAATATATCTTCATCTCTCTGGAAAGATGTATAAGCAGCCTTATAAATATAAAAATATTGAAAGTGTAATTTAATTTCTCATTTAAATCATGATCTTGACAGATTTATTTCAACAGGAATGAAATTTCCTGTAAATATAGAAGCAACATTTAATAACAGACAGAATTTTTGAAGAAATGTCAAATTCAGGAAAGCTTTCTACAAAGGACCCTGCAGATGGAATTTACAAACAAAACACAAAGGGATCACAGCAAAGGTATTGCTTTGAACTGAATGGTTCCATCAGCTGGCAAAAGCTATTAAAACAATGCAGAAGTAAAACAAAAACAACCTTCTTTTTTCTTATTTTGGAACTTTGAAGCATTTTTATTTGGGACAGTAAACTTAGAAGTAAAAGATCCTTAACCCTCTTTGACTTTCTCTCTAAAAGAGGTGACACTGCTTCACTGAATTTTGAGATTCTAGACAAGTTTGTTAATTCAATTCAATTAAAAATTAAGCCAAGTTATATCCAGCAATTAAGGACTACATTGGTCACTCACATACCTCAGGTTCCCTTTGGAATATAACAACTCGACCCCCCTTGTCACCAGTAGCCAGCAGTTCTCCAGTGTGGTTGAACTCGACTGTAGAAATAATATCAGCTGGAGAAAGAGAAAAAAAGGCAAGTTTTAGACTGCTGCTACAGCACAAAGCCACTAGAAATACCAGACACTCCACAGAGATGCAACAAATGAGGGATCTGAGGGAACACAGATGAATTCAACAGCAAGTCAGTAATGCAAACAGGCTGCATGCCATTACAATCTGAGGTTGTACACAACAAAACAAGTGCAAACATTAACAAGGCAAATTTGTGTTTCCAGCACATCTGCAGGTTAGGAGTGCAGGAGTTGTCTGGAGAGGTTGTGCTTCAAGAAGAGCAATCTCAGGCTGCCATAAGGCTTCTTTTCAGTACTGGTGATAGCAGTACTGGCCTCCTGCTATTTCCTCTAGAAAGGACCAGTAAAACATCTCAGTCCTGTTGCATGTATTATTTATTCTGCAACCTTTATGAGGGTTTTAACATAACCACTAGCACTAGTTTCCTCAAATACATGTTTGAGTCAAGAGTGCAAAAGCAAAGTACATGTAGCCTGTCCTACCACCAAGGAATGAAGGCAAAACCAGAACTGTTCACACTGTGTAGTGTTGGAAGCATTCAAATCACTGGTTTTGGCAAATCATTTCAGCACCATAAACATGTGTCATCAGAGGACAAAAATATGGTCTTTCTTTTTCTAATTTTCAACAACTGCCTTTCCCTAAGCAACTGCATCAGTTTAGACAAGAAAACTCATCAAAACGTGAGGCCAATCTCGAGCACAAATTAGTGTACATTAGGATGAGAGGGAGAAAGAGACTATAGGAGCAAAACCAGTTCAGTTCTTCTGTTTGAATGACAGCAAATGCTAGAATCATAATCCCCAGTTAATCCTATGCTATTAGCATAATTTAAATTAAAATGCTTAGTGCAATTGTAAATTAAGAAACCATCATATATACAATCACAGGCAAATGCAGCGTATTACTCAGAGACTGCATGTATGAATCCTCTATAATGATGAGTATTCACTCATCAGAAGCATGGGCCAGATTTTCGAAGCAGCAGTAGTTAGGAGCTCCCCTTTAGGCATAAAAAGCTGTGGTTTTCAAACACGTTCATCATCCATCAGTTTATGCTGAGAACAATGAAGTGACAGTGGGCTAAGCTCTTTTGAAAACCTAACCCCAAATGAGTTCACAAAAATTCAAAGGAATTGAAATAACAAGTGGATGTACCATTTACTTGATACATTTAATGAATTGAAAACATCTGTTCCTATTATTCTTTTAATAAACTAGCAGCTCAGTGTCAGAAAGCTTCTATTGCCAGCAGCTCTCGTCAGCAACACAACCATCCCAAAACCAGATTCTCACTCAAATGATACAAAAAATTCACCATCTCAATAAGGAAAACTTTACTCCAATCACAGCAAAGAAAAATATCTTTTAATGTTTTAAAGAAATTATCATCATCTCAATAAGGAAAACTTTACTCCAATCACAGCAAAGAAAAATATCTTTTAATGTTTTGAAGAAATCATCACCATCAAATTCTAAATCCAACCAATTTTCCTCCTTTTTTTCTTCCACTACTACATGTACAAAGGAGGAGAGGGCATGTAATTTTCCTATTTGTTGAATAAAATTTATGGGTCTGCAGACTTTGAGGAAAATAAACATGAAGACTTAAAATATTTTGGGTTTGAACCCAAAGCTTGTCAAAGGTCATGGTATTTGATTTTTATGTAGACTTCCACAGGCTGCATATTTCATAGGTAATAACCACAAAATCCCTAGTCTTACTAGAGTACAGGAAGAGTAGAGAAACTTGGGTGATGCTCTGGGGCTTAGGATGGGTTGAGTTTGATCTGAAAAAAAAAGCTATGCTTTTTTTTTAAAAATTAAATCTAAAAATCTAATCAACTTTTCTGGCATGCAAAGTTCATTCATACTGTTTCCAACGGAAGAACACTTCTTGGCTATTCCTGCAAAATTCTGCTGATAGTAGGTGTGGTCTCCTGTTTATAAAATGATACCTGCATGATTTTACTCATTTAAAGCTGCATCTAACTCCAGATATACAGGCAGAACTGCAGAATTCTCTTATTAACAGTCCTTTTAAATTGAGACTCTTATCTTCAGCATGCAGTGGGGGAGAAGGACAAACACAGAGGGAGGAATTTAGTATCTTAAAAGATGTGTGTGTGTGTGTATGTGCATGAGTAGTATACATGAGATTTTCTCAACAGGCCACAAAAGAATCAGATAAAATAAGTGTGCAAAAGAAATTAATGGCATTTGAACATACATGTGTGAATACACTTACTATCAGCCTGGAATACTTCCACAATATCATGGAATATTTTTCTCGATGATCACAATAGTCATAAAAATATTATATTGCACTTTACAGAGGACATTGGCCAATGCCCAGAAAAGCCCACAGGAGTATTTGCACAGACTTTAACAGTAACTGAATCAGGATTGTAATAGAATAGCTCTGCATTTCCTTATTATATTGCATTTGTCATTAAAATATTGTGTGCAGTTAAGTGATTATTGTTTAAAGAAAAGGAGCTAAAACATTAAGTGCCTGTGGGCAGTGTGCAATGATATTGTTCTGAGGCAAAATTCTCACCCCCCCAAGGTGTTTTTTCCAGACACATCTCTCTTTCCTATTAGAAAAATGAATTCTGAACTGGAAACTACCTATCATTTTTAAATTAACTTGTTCTGGAAAAAAGCAGATCCAGTATTATGACCTTAGTGGCTTATTGGTAAAAAACTATCCTTGAATTGGAAAATCACTTTTATTGATCCTGTAAATAACAGCTGAAAACAACAGCCCCCTCTCCCCAAAAGGAAAAAAAAACCAGATCCAGCATATCTGTGAACATTAGTCATGCTGTTTTCATAAAAGAGATTAGCCAGGCTGGCTCTTCCCAAGACAGAGGAGGTAGGAACAGAATCAATCAACAGAGATCTTCATACTCTTCTGCAGAACATTCCCCTACCTATTTATTAAGGCAGTAGCAACATCAGCCACAGCTGTCCCAAATCCTGCAGATTCTTCCATTGCAGAATAGCCCCCTGAGCATACAGAGCAATTAACTACCAGATTTCACCCTCTCCAGGGTATATAAACACACCACAATGGAAAGGCTGCTGAATTTGCATGTACAGTAAGCCCTTGGCAAGGGATGGCAGAGATGAAAGGCTCCTTCCAGCCTTCTTCTGCACCACACCTTCCATATCTCTGCTGGCAGTGCCAAGCTTTGCTCTAACGATTAGGATTATCAGAGACAGAGATAATCTACCTATTAAGAATATTATGGGTAACCTCAATGCCAACGGGCAAACATTTCCAATCAAATTGTAAATCCCAACTTCCTACTCCATTTTTAAATTCTCCATTTTGTCTATGCAGAAAAGTATATGAACTTGGATTTAGCAGTCAAGATGTTTAATATTTTTCACTGAAAATTAACATGCTGCCTGAGAAAAGCAAACTCAAAACCTTCAAAAGAGCAAAATACTCCAGGGAGGTAAACACCTGGTTATCTAGTCCATATCCTGCCACAGCAAATTCTTCCAGCAGGTACAGCACATTACAAATTTGAATTCCCAGACTGATTTACAGATTCACAGAAAGACATCACAGGAACTGACAGGAAGGTTTTCCTGATCCACTCTGAAGTATTTCATTCCCTGACTCCTGGTAACCTCTGCCCTTTCGTACCTCACTAATTTCTCTGCAGCTTCACAATTTACACTCACTCAATGTACTGCTCCTCCCTCAACTTCATGAGTATTGTTCCAGCATGAATCACAGAATCAAACGTAGGCAAGTGAATCCTTTGGCTGCCCTCCCTCAGGCTGAGGGATGAAACAAAGTTTGGTACATGTAGATCAAGTTAATCCTGGCCTTTATTTCACACCATTACATGCTTTTTCATGTTCACTTTCTAGCCTCTTATAGGTTTATTTTAAAGAATAAGCTATTAAAGACCCTATGGAACACAAACAGGCAGAGATACCTCTACAATAATTAAAAGCTTTACCTATATAATCAATTTTCCCATCATTTTGGGGCACTGTAGCATAATTGCATGTCATTTTCTACCTAATATGCACTTAGTGAAGCAAAGTCGGAACATATTTACACATCTTCATACAGTCTTTTGGTCAGAAACCACAAACAACTCCAAGAAGAGCTCAACTAAAATTTTCAGCTTGTTACTCTGGCCAAAAATGTCTACCTTCCTGGAACCGTTGATATACTTCATTTTGCTTCATAAGATCAGGAAAGCACAGAAAATTTCAGAACTATTTCGCCCAGCACAGAAATGCAGCTTTTTTGGACAGCAGTAGGAAGTTTTGAGGGCAAACAACATCACGCAATGGTACAGGGAAAAGAAGATCAGAGAAAATAATCTTCAGTTGAATTGCAGTGTAATCCTGATAGAGAATTAAAGGATTTGGAATGGGACAGAACACTGGAATTGACATCAGTACTTTTCTCCAAAAAAAAAGCTGGGAAATCCTAGCAGCCAGGGCAGGTCAGAACTTCTTATCAATCTCACCGGCACTGCGGTCGGGGTGGCAACGTCACCGACCTGCGTGACTGAGTCGTCATCTGGGTCAGGGTTTGCTGTGTGTGCTCCCTGTGGCTAGCAGGCAATCTTGTAGCCTACGTTATTTCAACCAAGTTCTGACCTGGCCTAACCTTGGTTTGTGAAATCCACTAAGATCACAGCACAATCTGGCATGGCTGCAAGCAATGTTCAGTCATACTGATACAAAAGTCCCCAAGGAGCATAATCTGGAAGAAACAACAAAGAAGCTTTCAACAAAGAGAGCCATAAAACAAAAGGACAAATGGCAAATGAAAGAAGAGCAGTATTACAGTGTCTCAAGTGAAGGGAAGGCCATTACAAAGAGCAGTGCTGTCAGAATTCAGCCTAGACTTGGATTAAAAAAAAAAAGGAAATAAAAAAATGGAGGCAATGAGAAAAAAATGGAAAGAAAAAGTCTTTTTTTTTAAAGCTGAAGTTTCAAA